TACTAACAGTTTGTTGCCAACCGCCATAAAACTCGACAAGAAGAAGAAGAAGAAAGGTATACTAGAAAGCGGAACCATAAAGTAGAATTTTAGTTCCCACCCGGCGTGTAAACAACAACGCAACGTAGCGGAAGATGGATCGGTCCATCGTTGTGCTCAGTCTGGCCATGTGCTAAACTTTCACTGACTTCTATCTAACATCTTATGGTTCTGCTGTAACATTTTCTCGGTTTATTCCCCAACATGGAGAACATTACAGACGGCACGTGGGACAGCTTACCTGTTCAGATAAACCAGAAGATTTTACAAACTCTGGAAGAGTTGAAATTCACTCACATGACTCCTGTGCAGGTAACTGATTTAGCTTTAAACTCCCTGTTTTCATCTATTATGTCATTAAAACTCTGCCTGACTGCTGGATCCGTTCCCTTTTACAGTCTGCTTGTATCCCGCTGTTCATGAACAATAAAGATGTGGCAGCTGAGGCGGTGAGTGTCTTTTCAACAAGTTATTATTGAACAGCTCAAGATGTTTTCAAAAAAAAAACTAATGTTTTCCTTGTGAACTGCGTTACTCTCGTGTTATTGATATTAAACTAATAAGTAATGCAAAGCGGATAATATCTCATATTGATTTAAGCTACTAGAAGCCTGCAGGATCTCTACCTACCCTGAGAGCGATGCACCATGTATCTTACTATGTGGGTAGAGGATTAACTTTGACATAAACATTGTTAAAGGTAATAAATTAAGACCGATTTAAATATACCTTATATTATTTATGAACAAATAAGCAGCAAAGAAAGGAAGCAACAGTTCCACATAAAGTGCACTGCATTGGATTTCCGATATCAGATTTCTAATCACCGATATCTGATCCAGTTTATTAGACGATATCAGAGCCAATATCCGATCCAGGTATCGGATCGGTGCATCTCTATTAGAGGCCAGTTGTTATAGGGTTTTTGAATCTGGCTGTAAAGAAATCTTCGATTATCAGAGGTGTCAAGTAAAAAAGTAAAAATACTTTATTACTGTACTTAAGTACACTTTTTAGGTATCTATACTTTACTCCATT